TTAGGAGGAATGATATAACTGCTAGGGCTTGGCTTCTACCTCTGTCTGCCTTGGTGTTTGTAAATGTACCTATTGATGTGGAGGTTTAGTACTGAGCTGTCACTGAGGGGACACCTGCTGGAGAATCACCCAGATCCACAGCTGCCTTGGGTAGATGAGGTGTGACCTTTTTGTGTTTGGAAGGATCTTTGTTACTGCAGCAAAGACTATCCCGTCTCTACTAATATATGTGCTTAGTGTTTGTTGCCTGAGCCATTTTTTTCCTTTCCTCAAGAGAAGCTAGAAATATAAATTTGGGTGTGAGATCTTTGATATGTTAAGGGAAAAAAGAATTTAAGGCTGAGCCAGCAAAGCCAAATTCAGCTTGTCAGCTACTATGAATAATCCCTGGCTTACAATGATTTGGCTGATGATTTTGCAACTTTATGATGGTGTGAAAGCATCCCCTTATAACTATTCTACTTTTTACTTTCAGTCCAGTATCAGAAAAATTATACAAGATATTCAAAGCTTTGTTATAAAATAACCTCTACCACATAGTTAGATGACTTTGCCCAACAGTGGGCTAACAGGAGTTTCTAAGCATGTTTAAGGACAAATTGGCTGAGCTATTGCACTTGTAGGTAAGATACATTAGATGCATTTTTGATTTGTGGTTATTTTCAATTCATGATGGGTTTTGTCAGGATGTAACCCAATCCTAAATTAAGGAGCACCTGCAGTTTGCAATTTTGATTTACACAGTTTGAATAGAGAGTGGAGCAGAGCAGTAATCCTGCCTGGATTTCTACAGTGCTTAGTGTCTGTAAATAGCTTTAATGGCTCTCTTGGCCTTGGATTTCTAAAAAAAATATTATTTTTTGGTGGTGATGATGATGTTGGGAATGGAAGTTAGGGCCTGCTCCATTCTGCCCGGCAAGTGCTCTACCACAGGGGCCACTGGAAGCCCTTTTGTTTGCATTTTGTTTATCAGTGTCTGGTCTTGAATTTGATATCCTTTTGCCTCTGCCTCCTGAGTAGCTGGAGTTACAGGCATCTGCACCATGAGTGACTCCTTCATTTTAAAGATGGGTGGCAGGGACAGGTGAGGAACCATGTCTTTGTGTAGCTCCTGCACCCAAGGCAGATTTTCAGTAAATACTGGTAGTAGGATTTGTTGATTAGTAGATTACTCAGAACTATCACTTCTTCTTTTGATACTGGAGAAACAGTTCTGGAGAATTGTTTTTGCTCTATTGTTTCACTTTTTTCTTTTTGCAATGGGCTTGGGATTCATCAAAGCTCATTAAACTTTAAAACACAATAGTTCAAATAATTCATAGACAATACCCAGTGTATTAATGAGGAATTTCTTAGTAGCAATTCAAACTGCCTCAGATAAATCATAGCTTAGTGCTTGCTTGAACTATATACACATACTCCAGAGGTAGGGAGGACGGCAGGCAGAGCTGAAATTGGGGACTCAATGCCCTTGGCACTCCATGTCTTTCCCTCCGTGGTTTGATTCTTCTCCACTCTTTGTTTTGGTGCCAGTAGATCCATGTCACATGGTAGATCCTGCCACTTTCAGGTCCAATTTCTTTTTTTTTTAATTTTTTCTTTTCTTTTCTTTCTTTCTTTTTTTTTTTTTGTCATGGGCTTGAACCCAGGATTCAGGGCCTGGGCACTGTCCTTGAACTCCTTCACTCAAGGCTCACTAGCTACAGCTCCACTTCTGGTTTGGGGTTAGTTAAATGAAGATAAGAATCTCATGGACTTTCCTGCCCAGGCTAGCTTTGAATCATGATCCTCAGATCTCAGCCTACTTAGTGGCTAGGATTACAGGCATGAGCTACCAGTGCCTGGCTCAGGTCCAATTTCTGACAGTGTGTCTTCCAAGGAAATTAATGAAATTCCTAATCTTATTGACTAATCTCTGAATCAGCCAAGTAGTTAGGGCTGGGTGTTTTAATTAGAATTTTCCTAGTTGCAAGCGACAGAAAAATAAAATTCAAACTGCCTTAGTGTTAGACCACAGTCTATTCCTAAGAGCCACAGGTAACACCACTGGATTGGACAAATTCAGGGATAAGCCAAGATCTGCTTCCTCCCCTCCACCCTATCCCAGAGGCAGTGAGGATACACAGGGCCTGCAAGGGTGCAATGTGGCTGGATTGGGAGGGTTTAAGCTCTGTTTGCATAGCATCCTATATAAAATAGAAAAACACCCATATCAAATAAGAGGGGGAACCTAATGCATTATAGGGAGGTAGAAGGGTTCAAAGACCACCAGCTACCTCTTGGTGCCACCGCTGCACTATATTTAACTTGTGGAAGCAAAGGCACAGTTGGACCGCCAGGGCCCAGCCATGATCTAAACTAGGCCTTGGAGAGGACCTACTCTAAGCTCATACATTATTATTAGTCCCTGAACAGAGCTCAGTTTAATTTTTTCCAAGCCCCACTAGAGAACACATAAAGTAACATTTGCTCCTGTTCAGTGTTTTCTTCCATATAAATGTCCAGACCCTCCTTCATCTTATGTGAAGAATGTCAGAAGTCAATTCCATAGCACCCAGCTTTGATCTCTGTACTGTAGTAAAGGTGCTGTGGGCTTTTCTGCCGCTGAGAATCATGGTCTTCCTCAAGACTATCAAATTACTACTTGTATTCAGTGTATATTCTTTAGGGCCTTACTTTGTGCTGTGCTGTGGTGTGTGTGTGTGTGTGTGTGTGTGTGTGTGTGTGAGATGCTGGGATAGGTGCTGTGGTGTGTGTGTGTGTGTGTGTGTGAGATGCTGGGATAGGAAAGGGGCTTGAATTCAGAACCCTGGGTGTTCTTCCTTAGCTTTTTGCTCAAGGCTGTTCCTCCACCACTTGAGCCACAGCTCCGGGCTTTTTTGGTGTTTAATTGGAGATAAGAGTCTCATAGACTTTTCTATCCTGGAAGGCTTCAATTCTGAGTAGCTAGGACCCTGAGTAGCTGAAATTACAAGTGTGAGCCACTAGTACCCCCCATACTTTTTGCTTTCTTATGTAATGTTGCAGATGGTGGTAATGAAAATGGACAGACAACAGCACTGGAACTTGGTCTGAGTCTTCCTCACCCCACCTCCTCCCTTGTCCTGGGGCTTGAACTCGGGGCCTGGGGTGCTGTCCCTGAGCCTCTCTGTGTTCAAGGCTAGCACTCTACCACTTGAACCACAGCACCACTTCTGGCTTTTTCTAAGTAGTTTATTGGAGGTAAGAGTCTCATGGACTTTTCTGCACTGGCTGGTTTTGAACCATAATCCTCAGATTTCCTGAGTAGTTAAGATTACAGGCATGAGCCACCAGCACCCAGCCTATCTTTTCATAAGACCACTTCTCTTTTTTTATATTAATACTTTTTTTATTGTGAAAATACCATACAGAGGGGAAGGGAAGACCACTTCTCTTATCCAAGAAGATTCCAGCACCCTAGGGAAGAAGGTAAATGATATCTAGGTGCACAAATGTGCTGGGCTTGGGTTCCACTCAGGAGCTTCCTCTCTCTCTCTCTCCTTTCTTGCGTCCATCTGCACTCCAAGGCGGCATGAACTTTTTCTTTCACTTCCTTTTCTTACCTGACATGTCTCTGAGAAGGCTGAAAGTTACAGAATATAAACATCATCACCCCTAGCTGGTCTAGCCAGAAAGGTAGGGGACTACCCTTCACCCTATGGGGTCTGCAGATGCCAATGTGGTTGTGCCAGCATTGCTGGTGCCGCGTTGAGGGCTCTGTGTGTGTGTGTGTGTGTGTCAGTCTTTGAAGCCTGGCGGGCACGGGGATGTCACAGGTCCATCTTTCCCTCTAGGAGGCTGAGAGGTGGGAGGGGGGCTAACTATGCAAATCCTACTAGGAAGGAAAGGGCTCCCTGGTGGGCACACTCCCCGTTCAGTGAACACTTAGGACCAAACCTAGGGTCAAACTGGGTCAGCCACAGCGTCAGCCCCAGGCTGCGCAGCGGGCAGGCTCGGCGCTGAGCAGCACTGCGGTGGCCCGTGGGCGTCCAGGTAACCCCAGCGCCTTAATCCTCTTGCTCTTGCTGCTCCATGGAAAAATAAAGCAGGCTTGCAAGACCACATCCTCGGGGCTCCGTCTCCACATAGGAGCTCCCAGGAGGGAGCGGGATGGGTCCACGCAGGCGGTGCCCGCAGGGGCCCTGGACCTGTCCCATCGCCACCCTCTCCCCGGGGCGCGGCGGGTGCGGGCGGCGGGGTGCGGGGATGCTCTTATATAACCGCTCCCGCGTCCCGCTTTCTCCTCGCGCGCGCTCCTGAGGCGCGGGGTGGGAGCGCCCCGGGCGGCGCTGGAA